ATAGCATCCAAACAGTAGAGCGTTTCAGCCAACCACTTTATATTCTTTTTAGCGTTGTTCTACAACTATTATGTAGTGCTTTGGGGAAACCAACTGTCTTATGTTGGGTGGAACGTTTTGAACATCTTGATAAAGAATTAGAGGATTTCCTGTCTTCAAATGTGGCTCAACTGCAGATAATCGTCCAGTACATTTATGTATGGAATGTGCCGTGCTGACATCATGCGCTGACAAAACAAAGTGGGCAATAGCACAACAAACATACTTTCTTAATTCAGTGAACCATTTATAGGCTCACCATGAGTGCGAGAGTCAGTTGATTACGTGATGATTATGATGGTTAGAGTGCGAAGTGAGTTATAGTGAGGCAAAGCTAAAGCTGAAGTGGAGCCAAAGTTCAGCAAAACTTTACGACACTTCTATTCACGATGATTTTGGTGGTGAGCATGTGCTACATTCGCGTGTTGATTAGGTATGAATGTTGTTAGTAGACATAAACGTTTGTAATTATCACAGCGCGCGGTGTAACCATTTCATGAGTGGTGCATTGGTGAAACATGTGCGTCACTAAACCAGCTGATATGTCGCTGGTGTATATCAGATGGTTTGGCTGCCCTATAAACGCAATTGGACGGAATAGGCATCCAAGGAAACAATGCTTCCCAAAGCCAAAGTACCCTTCGAACAGAGTCACTTTGCTTACTGCCATAAGGGGGAAATCAACGCTATAGTGCAATGTTTCGTTGAATTTGCATGAGAATTGCCTCATACCTGTATATCTAGGATATTTCTATAAATAGAGGGTTTCAAACTCTCGTACCATTTATTACGCGAGGATTTTGGTGGATTGGTAAGCTGAGAATATCGCACAACACACAAGTTTGGAACATTCAAGTAAGCAGGAGTTCTGAATTTCATAGTGGTGTGGAATGAAACCAATGATTTGTTTTCCCGTCGGAGCGGTTAGCTACTTCAAATGGAATATCTGAGCTTTTCGGAGGGATTTAGAAAAAAAAATGGCATTACTGATCAAATCCGACCCGGATGTCCAACTATGCGCGAAAAAACTATCTATGCCCAAAAGGTGGGATGCTCCCTTTAAACCAGCGCCTCACGGTGTATACCATGTTAAGCCTGCCGGTCCGCTGATGGCAATAACACGGCGTTCAGAGGAAAAATAATCTATCCCGAGCATTGCGAGTCTGCACACCCGATAGTATTGACAACGGGCTAACAGCTGCCAGCACAACCACTCGTCCGATTTCGGTTTCGGTTTTATTCGGTCGACCCCTGACAGCGCACCACGCATACTTGGGGAACACCTGGAGCGGAGATTGGCACAGATATGCGTCCATGTTGAAATGGTTTGACTTGCGGGTGGAGGGTACAACATTGCACACAACGATATCCTTGTGGAAGCACCTTGGCCGAGAGTGTCAATCTCTTGTCGGCCGACGTCGCCCTTTTTGTCCAAATGATCCCTCGAGGGCGCTTAAGTACGACCGGCCTGGCCGTAGAGCGGTGGCCAGGACACGACGACCCGGGAAAAACACTTAAGTACGACCGGCCTGGCCGTAGAGCGGTGGCCAGGGACCACGACGAACCCGGGAAACACTTAAGTACGACCGGCCTGGCCGTAGAGCGGTGGCCAGAACACGACGACCCGGGAAAACACTTAAGTACGACCGGCCTGGCCGTAGAGCGGTGGCCAGAACACGACGACCCGGGGAAAAACGCTTAAGTACGACCGGCCTGGCCGTAGAGCGGTGGCCAGAACACGGCGACCCGGGAAGAACACTTACAATCGAACACAAAGGTGGTGACCCTGTGCACGGGATAGATTTTGTGTAGGGCCATCAGCTGCTAGTAGAGCATACTCGTCAGATCTCGGTCTCGGTGGTATTCGGTCGGCCCTCTGAAAGTGCGTCACTCAATGCTTGAAAGTCTGCGAGCAGGCCGGCTGGAGCGGTGATTTGCATAGATGCGGCGTTCAATTTGAAATACCCTGACTTTTGCGTTGAAGGCGCTACCTCGCGCAAGCAATGCCATTGTGTATGTATGTGCGCATGTATGCATGCATGTATTACTTTCATAAGGTCATCCACAATGGGGTGTCGCTATCGTAACTCCAGGTCAAAGAGATACAATCATGCAGGTACAAAATGTATGGCACACTGTCAGAAACCCATTCGCAGGCCGCCACCCGCATTATTGCTCAACAGGTGTGTTGTTACTGAGAGAGGCCCGAATCTTAATTCCAAACCACAATTTGGTGATCGATGACGCCAAAGTATTTACTTAGATCAATAAGGCACAAACCACCTCTTACCGGTGGCGCCAAGAATGTTGTCGGAGACTGACAGCAGCGCCGTTTTGGTCGGGTGACGAGGGCGGAAACCTTGTTGGGGGGGGGGGGGGGGTTGGGGGTGCAAAGAGGTGGCTCTAGGATAGGCAGCGGTAAAGCTGCCGTTGGACGACCCACTCAGCCACTTTGGAGATAACAGGCACGAGGGATATAGGACGGAAATTGGATGGGTCAGATGGGTTACCGGCCTTGAAGATGAGATGGACTAGGGATTATTTCCAAGTGTCGGAGATGGTAGAATGGGTAGTGCATCATCGTCATTGGGCTTTACGACGTGCTCAGCTGCTGAGGCTATATGGCGTTGCCTGCCTCTCACCCTGACAGGAAGGGCGGGCGCGGCAGGAATCGAACCTCGTACCTTTGGTTTCCCAGACGCGCAGTGGTTAACGCAGATGAGTTAGCAAATAGAATAATAGTGAACACAAACGATGCCAATGCGTTCAATGTACCGAGGTAAGATAAAGTAGTCTGTACTAGAAGCTGCGGGACATCCACTAGTACACTTATGAGTTGATATGAACTGAAATGACAGAAGTTAGCAGTGGATTTACGCGCGGCGCCACAGTCAGGGTTTTACGGTCACAAGTCGCGCGGTACAGCGAGCAGGTGGCGAGCTGACGTCCCCACCCCAGCTTCAGCACCGCCCACTGCCACTCCAGCTGACTGCCCTGGATCTGAGATGGGGCAGATGCAGTGCGGTCGACTTGACTCTTGAATGTGACCTTTAAAGTTAACCTGAGAAAGTTTTCTGACCCGACTGGAACATCTGCCTGGGTTCCACATGGGCTTTTTTACAAATAGGTTTCATGTAGCAGTGCTGCTGCCTTACTTCATTTTTTGTCCTGTGGAGGTCAAACCACTTGAGATCGAGCAAAACGGACTTCGTCTTCATAACCAGCGCGTATTGTTTGACCTGTGATGATGATGATTTGGGGTTTTAGGGCGCATCGACTGCTGAAGGTCATGCAGCGCCCATTTGTTTGACCTGTGGTCACATCTTGAACGAAATTGAAACTCGACACCAATTCAGATACGATCACGTCGCCAACTTAACGGACGTCTTCCCGTTCTCGTCTGCTTGAGGTTCGTAAGGTCGCCTTCGATGTAGTTGAGATGATCTGTGGCTCGCCATGCTTACATTAACACGCACCCGGTTGGCCGGGTGAATGCGACCCGCTCGGGTGCAGGAGGCGGTGTGGTCAATTTATTGGATATATATAGCTATATATATATATATATATATATATATATATATATATATATATATATATATATATATGTGTGTGTGTGTGTGTGTGTGTGTGTGTGTGTGTATAAATGTATATATCATAACACCGAGATTTGAAAAATAAAGAGAGCTAGAGAAATTTAATTCATACGGCAGGCAGACCCGTATATGAATTCAATGTTGTCATACTTTTAGGTCCCTAGATCATGACATTCGTGTCGGATAAGGTCAAGCAAAGCCCAGCTCCAGATTGGTGTCCGAAGTGCCGTCAGATTTCCTCATGCAGCCATCTTTACATAAATATCCCTTCTATGTAAAAGGTCATTGGTGTTTATTTCTGGTCAGTGACCTAGCTTGAGTTTCAGAAGGTCACAGTAATTATACATTACGATGCTTTTTAATTGTTTTTGCCTAGATGAGCGTCAATGATTGCGTTAGGTGGTATGTTCCCAAAAACGACAGGTTGATCGAGTCAATTAGGCTAGTAACCTCCTTTTACCGTTATGAAACTCAAATAAGATGGCTGCTGACGTTCGTAGGATCAATTAAGTCGAAGTGAACGTCAAAACCGGTTCTTAAAGCAAGGTCTGCAGTGAACAAGCAGTTTGTTTTTAAACTCGGTTAGACCTTCATACCTGACCCAAGGTCAATAGTATTAGATCACGAATTGGATTGCAATATCGTCCAAGCACGATATCAAAGGTACATGCCTTCGTCTACCAATCTGTTTTCACATCACATTGAACGATTGTTTTATACATATATATATATATATATATATATATATATATATATATATATATATATATATATATTGAGCCTAGGAATTGCCTTCGCCGACAGTCATGGCCTAATTTTGACCCACCAGCGTCAGCCTTACAAGATGCACATATTTTGATACCAAAGCCATCTTATGTGTGCCATTAAGCCATCGCAGTGCGGAAAGCCTGCCTGGCTTTCCATCTGCCAACAGCTGTACAAAGTTTGGTGCGGCTGTTCCGCACTGTTAAGAAGTTTTTTTCAGAAAAACCTTCGTGGTGGGTCAAATCGATTGCCCATCCGGACTCGTGTTGCGGACTAGTTTGTTGAGCGGAGGCTGAGTGTCACGGTGGGAGAGTGACAAACTGACAAAGTAAAGTAACAAAAGTGGGGAATAGAGGGAAGGGCAGGTGCACGTAGAGCCGGGTGTGTCCTCACTCCGACCGACGGGCCGACGCGGACTCGCCGGGACATTCGGCGTCTTTGGTTTGCCATGTGACCGGACCATCAGTTCGGCATCCGCAGGATAGATGGCAGCACAGCTGCCGCCGACGGCGGGCCACCAAGCTAGTCAGCTTCGGTTTCGAGCAGCGAACGACCGCCACGCTTCTCATTTCGAGGCCGGCAGGGCAGTGGCCGGCCAGCGCGTCGGCGTAGCGCCGGGGGGGCCGTGGCAGGTGCGTGGCGTCGAGCGGTGTTTATACGTCGTACGCGTCGAGTTGAGCGTGGGCGCTGCCTGCGCTCTTGTTGCAGCCACCGCTGGCGCTATGGGGCAGGTGAGAGTTCCAGGACGGCTGCCTGGCGGTGCGCCCGCACACGCATCATCGCCGAAACGGCTATGGATTGCTGAGGGAGGGGCCGACTAGGTGGGGAGGGGCTGCCGGCCAAGAAATAAGCCGTCGGCCGAGAAAGGAGGGGCCACTGGCAGGGTAGGTTTGGGGCAACCGGCTTGGGAGGGGAGAGGCCGCAGGCAGGGGAGGGGCCGCCGGCATGCGAAGTCCGACTTGCTGACTTATTGTAATCATGATTTTAATTATCCGTGCATGCGTGTGCGTCTCAAAGCGCTTTTGAATTGATGTGGATATTGAGGTTTCCAGATTGCGGGCTGTGCTATAAATGTATGGCCGTTAGCATCTGTTCCTTAACTTGGCATTTGAATCAAGCGGCGCGTGTTTTTGGCTATGCTCGTTTCTCATTCAACACTATGTTGAAGCGCACGGGAACGGTTTCAACGTGAAAGGAAAAACGAAATGTTCTCTTTTGTTTGCTAATCTTTCCTTCCTTTCCGGTTTTTTCTCTCCAGATTTCGGTCACTCTATTTTCATGATGTGTTAAAGAGGTCTTTCCATTGCATGATGCTGTTTGATAGGTAAATCACGATCACATTCAAACATTTATTTAACATGACGGCGAAAATCAGACATCATTAACATGCTGCAACACCGACATCCCCAAATTCATGCCGTAATTCGTCACAAACACAAGACTTAACCAACAACAAAAATCGTGCATTAAATATCGAAAGTCAAGTGACCACATTCACTACACATTGCAGTCGACCATAAGCTGCCAGTCACGGAATGTGTGACACATTATCAACCGCGTCTCGAAATTGTCCTTGCCTTATTTATGTGCATTACTGCAATGACCCGACGTTGTTGTGCACTTCGGACGCTTCAAGTGTGTTCCCGCCGATCCTCTTACTTCCTCTAACCCCTTCAGAGCTCCTGCAAACTAATTTGATCGTTTCCGTGCCTCCTCCCAGCTTCTCCAAGCTCCTCAAAGCTAGCCGCCAACCTCCCCCAATCTTATCCGAAATGAAAGGCGCTTTTTCGGAAAGGTTTGGAGGAGGCTGTGGTAAACATTTGTAGCGCAGTTTATTCAAATGCTCTTCTGGCTCCATTTGTAGCCACGTAAGAGAAACAAAGGACAGATGCGTAAATGGCGCGGATAGACTACATTACAAGCGGTTTGAACGTTTCACAGTCATACGATTAGTATTTTCATACATATTTACCATTTGGGATATATTTTTTAATGACCACACCGTCCAATGCTATTCACCGTCAGAACGCCAAGACTGCTGTGTTAAATTGCGTACAGCCGGCTGACACTTCACTTCGAGATCGCTCCCGTGACATCAGATTTAACGCACCTTTGGTGTACCGCCAGTGTACCGCCACCCGCTGCAGTGGCCGTTCGGCGTCAATGACATTTACTACTGAAATATCACGAAATGAATTGTATGGCAATGGCATTGCCGCCTTTCAGCCTTCCACTGGCTTCCAGCTGTGATGTTGGTCTATCTCAGGCCACGGGTCCACTCACTGGCTATCTACAACGCCTAGCGAGGAACCACATCGCTGAACCCGGTTTACATGAATACTCTTCTTTTAAGTCATAAGTCGTGTTCCTAATTTACTGGACACGCCGATGATTCGGTTGATTCAGACCCAACTACGGCGGGCAACAAACAATCAAAGGGATGGATTCCAATATAACCAGCAAAAACAAGTCAGCGACTGGTGGCAGCGTGGATGAAGCCTGCGCGGACTGATAACAGCGCTGATTGATGACACTACCGACTGACAGCGGAACCGACTGGTGGCAGCACCGACTGATAACAGCGCTGACTGATGGCACTGCCGACTGATAGCGGAACCGACTGACGGCAGCACCGACTGAGAACAGCGCTGATTGACGGCACTGCCGACTGATGGCGGAACCGACTGATGGCACCACCGGCTGATGACAGCGCCGGCTGATGACAGCACCGACTGATGATAGCGCCCACTGATGACAGCGCCGACTGATGGCGGCATCAACGGATCGCAACACCGACTGGTGACAGGAGTGTTGACCAGCATGGATCCCAGGCACCAAAAACTGGTTCCTTTAAGAGGTCCCATTTTATGGTCTCCAACATCGAGCTCGGTGGCTGCGGTACTCTCTCGAACATCGAGCACGGTGGCTGCGGTACTCTCTCGAACATCGAGCACGGTGGCTGCGGTACTCTCTCGAACATCGAGCACGGTGGCTGCGGTACTCTCTCAAACATCGAGCACGGTGGCTGCGATACTCTCTCGAACATCGAGCACGGTGGCTGCGGTACTCTCTCGAACATCGAGCACGGTGGCTGCGGTACTCTCTCGAACATCGAGCACGGTGGCTGCGGGGCTCTCTCGAACGTTTGGCACCGTCCGTTTACTTACACGTCCTCTGCCTGGCCGTAGGACCATCTGCTTTGGCGACCTGCCATGCCATGACCACGTGTTGTCCCCTGCGACCTGGTATGATATATGCCCTGTTTTGTCGCGACAGGTCTAAAGCGCCGTTGCGTTGCCCGCACTACCGCGCCCTGGTCGGACCCGCTGTGACCTAGCATGACGTACCATGACCCGGCGGCCGGTATGCCGTAAGGAGAACGCGTCATGCTCTGGTCCTACGCCGTGCCCTTCCCTGCCCTGATGTGGCCGGGGCTGACCTGAGGTCACCCTGTTGCAGTCGGACGCCAACAACGGCTTTCTCCGCGCTGCCCGCGATGGCAATCTTGATGAAGTGATTCGTTTTATCAAGGACGGTGTTCATGTCAACGCATGCAGCCAGGTGAGGTGTGCAGAGGTGGCAGAGGCTTTTGTAATGGGCGTGGCCACCAGCGTCTCTGCCGAGGAAGGTCTGGGACTGTGGAGGGTGCGTGGATGCCAGCGTCACTGCCGAGGGACGTTTGGGACTGTGGAGGGTGCGTGGATGCCAGCGTCACTGCCGAGGGACGTTTGGGACTGTGGAGGGTGCGTGGATGTCAGCGTCACTGCCGAGGGACGTTTGGGACTGTGGAGGGTGCGTGAATGCCAGCGTCTCTGCTCAGGGAGGTCTTGGGTTGTAGAGGGTGCGTGGATGCCAGCGTCTCTGCTGAGGGAGGTCTTGGGTTGTGGAGGGTGCGTGGATGCCAGCGTCTCTGCCGAGGGACGTCTGGGGTTGTGGAGGGTGCGTGGATGCCAACGTCCCTGCCGAGGGAGGTTTGGGGTTGTGGAGGGTGCGTGGATGCCAGCGTCTCTGCTGAGGGAGGTCTTGGGTTGTGGAGGGTGCGTGGATGCCAGCGTCACTGCCGAGGGACGTTTGGGGTTGTGGAGGGTGCGTAGATGCCAGCGTAACTGCCGAGGGAGGTCTGGGGTTGTGGAGGGTGCGTGGATACCAGCGTAACTGCCGAGGGAGGTCTGGGGTTGTGGAGGGTGCGTGGATGCCAGCGTAACTGCCGAGGGACGTCTGGGGTTGTGGAGGGTGCGTGGATGCCAGCGTCTCTGCCGAGGGAGATCTTGGGTTGTGGAGGGTGCGTGGATGCCAGCGTCACTGCCGAGGGACGTTTGGGGTTGTGGAGGGTGCGTAGATACCAGCGTAACTGCCGAGGGACGTCTGGGGTTGTGGAGGGTGCGTGGATGCTAGCGTCTCTGCTGAGGGAGACCTGGGGTTGTGGAGGGTGCGTGGATCCCAACGTCTCTGCGGAGGGAGGTCTGGGTCTGTCGGGGGTGCGGCGTGCGCGCCGTCGTCTCGACCCGGAGTCATATTAAGCCAGTATGTGATGTCGGCACGTGTGTCAGTGTTGTGTCTCAGTGGTAGCCGTTTAAGTGTAAGTCATCTGCCAATCCTTCACCTCTGCAGAATGGCTTGAGCGCGCTTCACATGGCGAGCAAAGAGGGTCGCGTCTCCATCATCAGGGAGCTGCTCAAGTGTGGGGCATCCGTTGCTGTCACCACCAAGAGTGGCAACACACCGCTGCACGTGGCGGCCCTAGGTGAGGTCACGTGAGCTCACGTGGCGGCCTTTGATGAGATCACGTGGGCTCACGGGGGTGAGCTATGGCCGGCGTCATGAGGCGTCATGAATGCTTGATTAGCTTGAGCCTTGAAAGGGGGACCTGCTGAGTCTGATGGTCTCGTCAGGCATGGCTGTATATACAGGCATCGTGATCAGATGCCTGAGAGGAGTGTAGTCACGAGGCTCCCCACCACGCCAGCTCTGCTGACCCGAACTGAGGGTCAGGACCTCAGCTGAGAGGAGTGTAGTCACGAGGCTCCCCCACCGCGTCAGCTCTGCTGACCCGAACTTAGGGTCAGGACCTCAGCGGGAGGGGTGTAGTGACGAGGCTCCCCACCGCGTCAGCTCTGCTGACCCGAACTGACGGTCAGGACCTCAGCTGAGAGGAGTGTAGTGACGAGGCTCCCCACCACGCCAGCTCTGCTGACCCGAACTGACGGTCAGGACCTCAGCTGAGAGGAGTGTAGTGACGAGGCTCCCCACCACGCCAGCTCTGCTGACCCGAACTGACGGTCAGGACCTCAGCTGAGAGGAGTGTAGTGACGAGGCTCCCCACCACGCCAGCTCTGCTGACCCGAACTGAGGGTCAGGACCTCAGCTGAGAGGAGTGTAGTGACGAGGCTCCCCACCGCGTCAGCTCTGCTGACCCGAACTGACGGTCAGGACCTCAGCTGAGAGGAGTGTAGTGACGAGGCTCCCCACCACGCCAGCTCTGCTGACCCGAACTGACGGTCAGGACCTCAGCTGAGAGGAGTGTAGTGACGAGGCTCCCCCACCGCGTCAGCTCTGCTGACCCGAACTGACGGTCAGGACCTCAGCGGGAGGGGTGTAGTGACGAGGCTCCCCACCACGCCAGCTCTGCTGACCCGAACTGACGGCCAGGACCTCTCCTGAGTGACCTGTGGGACCGGGACTGGCCAGCTGACCTGACCTCTGCTCTCTTCCAGCCGGTCAAGAGGAGATGGTTCGCTTGCTGGTTCAGGCTGATGCCAACGTGAATATACAGGGACCGAATGGCTTCACTCCGCTGTACATGGCGGCCCAGGGGAACCATGTGACCGTGGTGAAGTGCCTCTTAGCCAGCGGGGCAGACCAGGGCATCGCCACAGAGGTGAGCCCTCGGGCGGGTGACTGGAAACAGCACTCACGGAAGGCAAACTTATGACGCTGTACCATTTCTTCAGTAATGTCTAGTTTGAATCGAGTCGAAGTGGGAGTGTGACGCCAAAGCGGACGCTGCGTTTCGCTCGGCGACCATGCGAGAACGATGAATCGTTTTCCGCTGTCAAACCGATATCTCAGTTGCTTAGAGTAGCCGCATTTTGATTCAGCTAACCGTGGCGGGCCGGGTTCGAGTCGCGTCGGGTCCTCGCTTTTTGTCTCTGAATGGTTTGGCCTGCGATTGGTGTCATTGGCCGCGCTGAAGGTCAGATGATGTCACCTGGCAGGACGAATCGCGCCGAGCATTGCGACATGGTATGCTTTCGCCTCAAAATTCTGCCGTTGATCCGGGATTGCTTAGTCCAATGGTGGGGCCAGTGCTCACGCAACAAACAGCGGTGATCGTTGGCCCTTGAAAACGAAACAATTGGATTATCTTCCCCTTTTTCGTGCGCCCTTTGCGGGAAGATTGTTGTCGTTAGAGTTCTAAAGGCCGTGGCACATTGTTCTAAACTGGCCCGCACGAAACATTGTTTGAAAAGCTTCGTGGGGCTTACGCTGAACACACTAACCACCCGTACAGGACGGGTTCACGCCAGGTACACCAGCCGCTACTACAGGACAGGTCCAGTACACTAGTCGCTTCTACAGGACGGTCTCACGCCCGACACTAGCCGCTGCTATAGGACAGGTTCAGTACACTAGTCGGTCCTACAGGACGGTTTCACGCCCGACACCCGCGTGAGCCGCGCTTACACGACGGGCTCACGCTGGGACACTAGACGTTCTTACAGAACGGGTTCACGTCGTGACACTAGCCGCTGCTACAGGACGGATAAACGCCAGGTACACTAGCCGCTCATGCAGGACAGGTTCAGTACACTAGTGGCTCCTACAGGACGGTTTCACATCCGGTACACTAGCTGCTCCTACAGGACGGGTTCACGTCAGGTACACTGGCCGCTCCTACAAGACGGATCGACGTCAAGACTCCTCCATGACGGGTTCAGGCCCGATGTCTTCTGACGTGTCCGCTCCCGCAGGACGGCTTCACGCCGCTGGCGGTGGCGCGGCAGCAGGGCCACGACAAGGTGGTAGCCCTGCTGCTGGAGAACAGCGCGGGTGGTGAGACCCCCCTGTCTGCCCCTGGCGTCACGAACGACGGCTGCAAGTCTGCCGAACACGGCTCCAGCGTAGCCCAAAGCTCGAGTGCGCTCGCTTCTTCGAAACGATCGTGGGCAAGCAGGCTTGGTAGATGGCTTAGAAACAAGAAAACCTGAGACCCGTTCGGTCATGACTGTTGTGACTGTCAAACGTTTCATCTGTGTGTGTTATGTCTTCGTTTCATCATCGCCATGCATAAGGTCATGCGCTCAGCGGCACTCATAACAGTACGGACGCCCCACCAGAGTGCTGTGTTCAGCTGAGTTAATGGATTTGCGGCGGAAGTACAGCCAGGAATCATGGGAATAAACTGCGGCGGAAGCACAGCCAGGAATCATGGGGATAAACTGCGGCGGAAGTACAGCCAGGAATCGTGGGAATAAACTGCGGCGGAAGTACAGCCAGGAATCATGGGAATAAACTGCGGCGGAAATACAGCCAGGAATCGTGGGAATAAACTGCGGCGGAAGTACAGCCAGGAATCATGAGAATAAATGTGACAGCTCTGTTAGTGCTCTGCGGTCACTGTTGAGTGGCTCCGGAAGTACAGCCAGGAATGGTGGGAATAAACTGCGGCAGCCGGAGGTACAGCCAGGAATCATGAGAATAAATGCGAGAGGTCCGTTAGTGCTCTGCTGTCACTGTTGAGTGGCTTTTTGCATGGAATGGTATGAACAGGAGTCCGGAACGGTGCGCCGCTTCGCCACCAACACAAGACACCGGCCGGTGACCTGAAGCTGACCCCTGCGAAGCAAACGTCACAAGAGGAAGCTGCTATTATAGCATTGCAAGGTGTGGCCTCATTGGCGATGATCTGTGATGTCTGTGATGATCTATGTACCGATATATACCTATACATATGATGCGTACTGTGTTGAGTACCACAGAATATCACAAAGTGTGAACCACGGGTTACCATATGTTAGACGGCCATATGTTACCACCACATGTTAGACGGCCAAAAACTATCACTGTTCCAAGGTTGAGAACGTTCAGGATTCTTGAAATAGGCGTCAATGCTCTCCTCACAACATTGTTCGTCTTAAAACATTGCTAATGTGTCCTATTGTGTAACTTGTCGGTCACGGCCCATGAGCACCCATAAAGCAAAACGAATGGACACCACCAAAACGCGCCGGAATGAATAGCAGTCTTAATAATTAAACGCCCGCACCCGAAAAGCTCCATACAAAACCTCACAGTTAGACGACCTCACACGGAAAGGCGAGTGAATAAGCGACTTGGAAGCCGTCAGAAGTAGACGGAAGAAACAGATGCAAGTTAAACTATATGCTACGACGAAACGATGCAGTGACGCAAAAGTTAACGAAACATGCTTGTGAATGAAAGGCTTGAGGCGAAAAGTGTTAAAAGCAGTGTCCAACATATGCATTGGGTTTTAAGTTGAGATAGCCATTGTGAATATCATTGAGTGCGGTCACAGCTACACCATTTATAGGACTTAAATCACGTTTGTGTCTGGGATTTAACCCCGCGAATTTGCGCATTTTTTTCGTGCAGACTATTTTAAGATCACTCGGGCCTGTATGATGCCATAAAATGCTACGCGAATGCTGCCACCTCATTGTCCATGTAGTTCTCAAGGCCGAGCCAAATATGATCATCAAATTATTCGTGGCTGTCGTACGTCAGCATGCTTTCTGGTATCAACGGACTTTGGTTGGCCTTCAACCAATGTAATGTGTTCAGTACAAGTTTTCAGCATGATTCACGTGTTGTGATTCATAATGCAGAATTTTCAAAAGTGGCACGAGTTTTGACGAAAATAAGACTGGGAATCGAATAACTTAAAGACAGCGCAATAACCGAGCATGTGAAAGCAGCTAAATGATGTATAAAAATGAACAAATATGCAAGTACATCACAAGGAGGGGCCAAAACGCGAGCACATGATGATATTCGGTTCAGTAAACACGCTCTAGCAAACACCGCCACCTCTCGACGAGTTGACGTACTTCAAGTAAGCCAGCCCGTCCACTACAGAAGCCATTCTGTCTCGACCAGTGGGTAGCAACCTAAAGTCATGAAAATGTTCCATGACATAATCAAACGATGACGTATTGAGGATTATATGCATTAAATAGCGAAATTTTCCTTCTCAGACCAGTCTTTAACACTTAGAAGCAGCATCAACGGATCCAGGCTGCTACCACTGTCGGTGTTGGGATGGATGATAACGTTGGAGCAGATTAACAACTTCACAATGAAGACGGCACACAAGCTGTTTCTCGTAGCTGTTCTCCTCGAACGGATTGAGATCTTTTGACTCTTACAGGAGCTGGTGTCTTGGCTGGATGACGTTCTCACGGCCCGCTGAAGCTCTGAGCAAACGATGGTGCTCTGCTGCGTCCGGAAATTGTCAAAACATTCTAGGTGTTTCAAAGCACACAATTTTATACGATTATGGACACTTTTTGTACCTAATTAATCAACATTTAGATACTGTTGGAGATGCCCTACATTTGTACTGCGTTTAACGACCATTGATGAATTTTTTGGGTTCTGTCTGAATTCGTGTTAAATTCAGTTCCATGAACGGAAATGTGTCCTTTGCTCATTTTATGTCGAAAGAAATTTGAAGGCTCAAGTGGAGTGAACGTTTGGAGGTACTTGAAGTTTTATCGCTCTTTGGACTTCAATAAGTAAGTGGCTGTATGCTATCAAAACATTCTTAATTTACTGTTCATAATTGATCTAGTATAAGTAAGTTCATTCCTTGGTACAAAAAGGCCTTCAGTACCAGGTTTTTCGACGTTACAGGGCGGAGCTCTTGTGCGGATATATATATATATATATATATATATATATATATATCCGCATATATATATATATATATATATATATATATATATATATATATATGTACATATATTCTGCTATTAGTGTCTTGGCTTATGAACAGGAGTTCAATTTAATTTATCATTTTATTTGGGAGAACCATGCTATTAAGACCGTGGGGCGTCCTTTGCGGCTGCAGTGCCGCTCATGGCCCATCGAAAATGGCCATGCAGCGGCAACTGAGTTGCTGAGTTGCAGGAGTTTTAGTTGCAGTTGCACACTGGGCTGAAGGTGAAGCCTCACCAATGGCAGGTCTCCAAGGGTTTTTGCGTCTCATTGAAATCATTCGCGTCTTAGCGGCGTTTTGTATAGGGTCACAATGAGCCTGTGGGATCCCTCACTAATACCTGGACAGCATCGCCATACTGAGTTGACTGCTCCACCTCAGGAAGAGTTGGGATGATTCGGGCACATTTAAACAGCAGCGGCACCAGAGAAGATAGTGAAAAAACCTCGGCCATGCACGGTGAAAGGTCGGCGAACAGGGATCACAATTAGGGTGTGGCTCTTAAAATAATCCGAGAACATTAAGATACCCACGCCATGCAGCCGTTGTCTGCGGATGTTGATGCTGTGGGTCAAAGTAATGAATCAGTTTGTTCAGAAGTCTGGAAAAGGGAGATCCCATTGCCGTTGGAGCGGTACGCGCGCGGGAACATTCATACAGTTTCCCTCAGAACCTTCATACAGTTTCAGCAAAGTGACGAGGGCGGATACCGGCCTGGGAAGGGAAGAAGGTGGCTCCTGTTAATTGTGGAGCTGTCACTTGATCGCGCGTCCTATATCGTCACCGTCGACCAGCCTTCACACACTACGTAGTAGATCTCCGTGACACGGAGCACAATGCCCAAGGCATGAGACCTACATCCATTTGGTGAAGTGGTGTCCGGCCTTCAGGGACGTTATCCTTCATGTCTTCAAACCCTCTCACGCCCGTCTGGTACCTGTCCCCCTCCGATCCTTGGAATCGCTGTATTCTCTGTCACATCTTCAAATCTGTCATTTGGGCGATGACAGGTGTGCTGGCTATGAGACTGCAAAGGCTTGGATGGATGAGATTTAGCCGGTATCTGACCCCTGAAACCCTTATTCCCCACGAGGGTGTTTATACCTCTTGCTGTGGACGTCAGTACGAAAGCACACGAGGGTCATTCTCCGGACCGTTCACTGCGCTGGCCAAGGTCAGGTTGTCCATTAAGCAGGATTCGGAGGGTGCCGTCACTGCTCTTGTTCAAGCGAGGCCAGTTAATACCTTTAGGTTTCGGCAACGTATCAGAGTATTCTTCAGTGCATAAAATAACGCCCGCCGCGTTGTTCAGACCTCTCAAGGTTATGCCTTCAGGTTAAATTAATAATGAAATAAAGGAAAACTTCATATTGCCGTTAAGTTACCGAACGGTTTTAAATTTTGCAGGATCAGCGTCTTCGAAAAATCCTTACCTTTTTATGGTCACATTGAAGGTAAGAATACCAACAAAATTGGTTGCAGAGTGAAGCGAACTTAATTAATTGCACAACTTCTTCTCCTGAATAGTGCCACTAAATAGAATGCTTTACATTTGAAAATAGTGAGGCAGCATCAAATATGATGAAATGAGCTCACTTGTAGCTATTAGAATGCCTTTAAGTGCGAAGGGCGGTTCTAAACAAGCAAATTTCCCTATTGAGTGATTGTGCTTCTTAATATGTCATCGTTTGACTGCATGAAAAACGTTTGAATGACGTCAGAGTGGTCGCCAAAATGGCCGTGCAAAATTACTCCCGTAGCGGAAGGCCGGACTCACTGGTAGTACTTTGATTTGTCGAGAGGTGTCGTGCTAATCGGTGTGTTGTTCGCAGGACCCAAATATCGTAATGTGCGCGTGTTTTGAACCTCTCTCCTGGCATTCTTGTATATTTGTCCGTGATTTTGTCTTGTTTACTTGCATTCACCTACTCAGTTACAGTGCTCTTGTTCCCAGTCTTATTGCCGTGATAACTAATATCATCCCAACCCCCCACCCCCTGTATTATACAGCACAAAACGCACCATATGCTCGAAACTTGCGTGTGGCGCATCACTTTGGTTGATGGCCAACTAAAATCCGTTGAGGACAGAAATCGTACTGACGTATGCCAAACAGTAATAGTTCCATGAATATATTTTTTCTTTGCCTAAAGCACTGCATGGCTAATGAGGTGACATTATTCGCTTAACGTTTGCATGGCGTCATGCACGTCTGAGTGACATGAAATAGTCTGCACAAATTCGCGCGCGTCAAGCTCAGAAATCAGAGGGTCTTAGGTCTGTAAAAGTCGGGCTGTGAACTACACTAGATGATCTCTAAATGACCACTCCAATTCATAACCCTATACAAATGTAGAACACTTTTTAGGAGTGCGAAATGACACCCGCAGCAGTGCCAAAATGCTCCTTGGTGCTCGTTTTCTGTTAAAAAAGGAGCTGTCTCACGCTGTTGGCCCGCGTGACCATGAACACCGTACTATGTTGCGCGAGGATTCTGTGGCGCAAGGAAATCGTGTCGCCTGCACCACGGCAGTCTCGGCCAAGATAAGTCGGCGCGCGCGGAGTGGGCTGGCTTCCGACGCCGCACCGCTACGTCGCGGCAGTCTCGGCCAGGACAAGTCGACGCGCACACGGAGAGGGCTGGGTACTCTACAACGTGCATCGGCCCCCATAGGGCATAAGGAAGGTGTGTACTGTGTTGCAAAGCCGAGCTCGGGTTTTGTGGGGGACTTAAATCCTCGCCCTCTGGCTAGGACTCGGAGGCTTTTTCCGTAAAGTTTTCCAGAATAAATTTTGAGTGGCTTTGAACACGGTGTTGAAATTTTTCGGACATTAACTTACGTAATGTTTGCACCTCTCGTAAAATCTTAAATCTCTGACGGCGATTGCTGATGGTCTTTGACCTCTGTCGATATCGTGTCGGTGACATTTTGCTCAGCCGCGAGAAATATCCCCCATTCTTCGGCGGAAATG